CGTTTAAAAAACCTTAAAATAATTTGCTTTAATTACAAGTGCCTAAGAGCATGCTGTGAAAAACTGCTCAATTTTAAATCTTTTATTGCATACTTTTAGAAACATTTATAGAAATGTAAAAAAACGAGTTGTTCTTCAACATTGTTTTTTTATTTTTTGCGGAATAATTCAAAAGTAAACCAATCTTTAGGATTTCAAAAAAAAAAATTGACTCAACGCACCCTTTAAAAAACTCCCAATTCGAATTCCAAATCCACCTCTCAAAGAAAACTTCTTCATAAGTATATTCCACAAGATGCAATGCATTCGCTCTCAAAATAACTGAAATTGCAATTCAATTGAGTGGAATAAACTTATGGATGCCGATTTTCTATTCGCCAGGAATTTATGACTGTCCGCGGAAGGAGCCAAGCCCCTGATCGCTGGGCTGGGCTAAGAACTCGAATCGAAAATGCCTCGGAAAACTGGAGATTGTGGACTTCTCGGAAGACAAACGGCTCAATAAAGTCGCAATTGAATTGCTGACAATTGCAATTGCATTCCGATTGCGATGGCGATTGCCGGTCGGCTTATCAGCGGTTCGCAATAAGTGCGCGCCGTCCAACAAAAGCCAACAATAATAACCCCAAGGTGGCAGTCGAGGGTTAAGAGGCAGTATCGTATCGGAGGGCGTGGCAACAACGCCCAAGTGTCGCATAAAATAAACATTTTCCAAATTGACACTTGCGATTCAAAACCAAACACTCAATTGCAGCAATGCCAGCGACACCAACACTAATACCAACAACTGCTACCACGACAATTGCAAAAACAACGACAGCTACACTGAGAAAAAAAATTGTCACGGTTTCTGTAATAAAATGTTTGCTTAACCAGTAAAGTACAATTTATAAATAAACAAATTCTTTAATCACATATGTACTTTAATAGCTTAAATTGTATTTGAAAAATTACATAACTAAGTTTAATCAACGAAATTCAGGGATATGTATAGCAATACGTTTGGTCTATTATTAATAATAACAATAAATAAGGTTATAAAAATAATATCTGTAAATAGGGTATTTTAGATATCATATTATATTATTATTATTATTTATAAATATTTTTAACAATATTATTAATAGTGTTTATACATACACAAAAAACTTTAATTAAACTGTACAAGTTTTACAAACTTAGCCTTAAATAAAATATTATGCGTTTTTCCTTTCTTTTTAATTTTTAATGTCATAAATTAAGCATTTGTAGTTTAAATATTTTTTGGTAACATAAGGTTTCTAAAAAAAACCATTGTATTCAATAAATTTTAAATATTTTTTAACAGTAATTTAAGCGATATTATAATAATTTAATTTTCAAAACGTTTTAAAAGACTAAAATGTGTTGTATCCAATAACCACTTTTTTTATAGTTCCAATATTTTTCTCTCAGTGTATGTTGCCGGGATGACACCATCATCAAGTGCAACAACAATAAAAACAGGAAGTGCAACAACAACGGCTGATGGCTGATGTTGTCGTTATCAACTAAAATTCCTTGCATCGACGCACAGGACTCACCAACACTACGCTACGTAAGCTTGGCTGTATACGTGTATATGTGTGTGTGACTCAAAGGGTGGTGGTAGAAGATGGGGGGGGGGCTAAGGGGCTAGAAAAAAGGCACTCCATTGGAGCCATAGAAAGTCACCGCCAACACCGCCACAGTCAACGCCATGACCATTATCGGCAACCTCAGCCTCCGTTGCCATTTACCAACCAACTAACTTTTCGCCGCCCCCCCCTTTTGGAACCCCTCTTGGCGACCCCGCCACCCATGTCCTTACCGCATCGTCATCGACATTTATAAACTGCACACACAAAACACTGTCCAACTGTCCCGCACAGTTGCCCGTGGAAACTTTGCAGTTGTTTGGACTGTTGCTTCGATTTCCCATGTCTGGGTTTACTCTGTTTTTCGGCCAGAAGGCGGGGCAAATGGGTCTCTGGACAGGGGAACCAGTTCCCCCATCAATAATAATTATTAACACGTTTCTTATCCAGTGATAACTACCGAAATAATCAAAAAAAATATTGAATGTTAGTATACATTCATTAATTTCTATACATATACCTAAATATATCACATATTAGCTTTAGTTTAGAAAATACATGAAACCTATAGGTTCCCTTATAAAAAAAAAATGTAGCAGTCCTTAAAATTATATATGGTTATATAATAGGATTACTTTGCAACAACGAGTAAAATATGCCTGCCTATTTAAACAATATACATAAATATATATAGTACATATATTATAATCCTAAGTTTGTTAACATTTTTTGGTAAGTTCAAAAATCTGTATGAATTCAAAAAAAATAGCGCCTGCTCTGTTTGCTGAACTAGTTCCTTTCGATAAATCGCTTGTGAAGCGAATCGTGCAAATCGAATAAAAGTTGAGATGGCATTTTTGTTGCTCTAACGACCATTTCAATGCGACTGTAAGTGAAGACGATAATGCTGATGATGATGATGGGAATGGGTATAGCTACATGGCGTGGATGGGTTGGCTCCTCCTCCTGATAAACGATAATGAAGCCATGCACATGCGGTCCAAACTCGAAGGCGGCGGGATGGGAAGATACCAGGAGCTGCAGGATGAGAGGAGCGTTGAGGAGACACAACCATGGCCACAGTCACGGCCACAGGACCAATGTCCGCCACTTCCTGAACTACCATTCCCCTCCACATCCTTGTTACTCCTTTTTTGCCGCTGCTTCATACTGCAGAGAGAGAAAAAATCATTTTATTTATATTTTTTAAACAATTTCCTGCCTTCAGAGTTAAATTATGTATTTATTATAAATCATTTGTTAATAAAAATGTCAGAATGTTTTAAGTATTTAATATTATTAGTAGTTGCACTATATTACTACGAGTGCCCTATAATAAAGTCATACATTTTGTTGGTATGCCAACAGAGTAGATCATAATGGTCTTTTATAAATACAGAATAGATTATAACAATCTATTAAATGAAAAAGATGCACTTTATTTAATGTTGAAAGAAAAAACCTAAAGGTCTATATTTTTAAATAATTAAAAAACCTGGTTTTCAATAATCTATTATTAGAATAATATTTATACTTTAACTTTAACAAAACTGCTGTTCCAAAGTTTTTTTCTCGCAGTGTACTAACTGGCGTCCCTTTTTTTGCGAGACACACACATTGGCACAGCTGCGGAGTGGCGAAATGGAGAGTGTAAAAAGAGAAATTCCTAAATGAACGATATAAATTGTTGGCAGCCACAAATAATGAAAACACTTTGCGGTCATTTAGCGCTATTCGAAGCTCTCACACAGATACTCACACACGCACACACAGAGCAGCACACACAGGCTGTTGACAGTTATCCTTGCAAAGTCGAAGGGGTGAGAACGAGATGGATGGACAGATAAATGTTGGGTGCCCTGCTCCAACTCCTTTTCATCCTCCCGAATCCTTCGTCCGTCTGGCGGTGACATTTTTTCAGCTTCGACCCCAGTTCAAAGTCTATTGCAATTTGAAAATGACATACGAAGTCCATTAAGCGCACAAATGTGCAGCGAATGCGGCACAACAATTGCTGGCAGGACCACATCCTCGTCCCTCGTCCTTCGTCCTGCAGCTGCATCGTTACTCAGCCCAAGCTTGGACATCGGAGGCATTGCTAAGCGGCAAAGGGAAGGTCTGGAATGGCCAGTTTGGGCTCTGCAATCCAAATTATCTTAATCAACTCAAAGCCACAGTGGTGAGACCTTAAAAAGGAAACCAAGGTACAGGTAAATATCAAAGGCCATAAGACTCAAAAAAGTGTAAGATAAATGAGTATCCTAAAAAATCCCAAGGCTATTAGAAGATCACAAAAATTTTAAAATGATATGATCTTAAAAAAATGTTATAAAGAGTACCCTCAATTTCTTATAAATATATATTTCCTTGGGGATCCAAAATATTAATTATAATATAATAATAAAGTATTTTTCCTTTAAAGTTAGTAACCACTGTTCCCCCAGATAAGCACACACACACACTTATGTACACCCCACCCAAAATTCAGCACAGAGAAAAGACAAAGGACTAAGCATCCAGGACGAAGGACGCATCGATATCCACGTCTACGCCTGATACGTTTGTTCCATTGATAATGAACATTGACAACTTTGAATGCAGACAATTGAATCTTAATTTTCCACCGCACTCCCTTTAAAGGATGAGTATGCGATGGCATCCAAAGGACATGCAGACGTCGAATCCATTACGACATCATCCCATGAATCAATGTTTGAACACAATAAACATTTATTTATGATGCAGCAGAAATTTTTATTTCGTTTTTCCTTCATCGTCTGTCTGATCCTTTTGTGCGAAAACTCCTTTCGACCATATTTAATTATTATTTCGTTTTGCCTGGAGACTGAAAAAGTCCATGGAGCTATAGGAAATTACTGAAGTGCTAAGTTATTATTTTAGTTTATGAAAAGTTTTAAGTTATGTATTTTATTTGAAATTTATATGGATAAAAATAAAAGGTTCTTATTGATTGGACATATATTATAACATAATAAATATCATAAGATACCATTAGGGTTCACTTAAGATTTTTTTAATAATGTTATTGTTATCTTTAAAATAAAAAAAAATTTTTATCATTCGGGTTATTCCTAAGTACTGCACAATCTTCTGCCTGAACTTCGACTATCTGCTGACCTAATCCATGAATCAACTGTGCACAATAGGCATTTATTTATGAACTGGCTGCTGTCCACAGCTTCGGGGAACTCCTTCATCCCAGCAATTCGGCAATCCACAAAGCATTTCATACTGTGTTTTATTACCTGACTGCTGCAGTTGCAGTTGCAAATGCAGTTTCTAAGCCGAAAAGCAAGCAATATAATAATAAATCCTTTGGTTAAACAATGCCAGGCAAGTTCAAGTCATTCATTTGCTTTACAGAAATATTGGGTTGTTAAATGGTACTGGTAATATCTTTTATTCGGTGCAATTTTTTGTAAAGTATGTATGCACATTTTAAAAAATGTTTCTTTTTATTTTACGTTTAATTCGTTAATAAATCCGTTTTCCAATCCTCTAGGGTGCGTTATTCACATAATCTCCAAAACAGTATGGTGTCCATGGTGAGCATAATATGGCCGGTACTTGCCTAAATCTGTAAAATTATAAGATATCATTTCAATTAATATTCTATAAAAGGTGGAAATACAAAATTTGATTTAAATTTGAATCTTAAAATAAAATATTTACTGCAATATTATTGAAAAGTGATTAATAAATAAAACTTACCCGTTTTGTGCGGACTCTTTCTCGACCATAGCGTTTACTTCCTCCATAATGACCTTGAAATCCTTCGTAAGGGCATGCTGATCCATTGCAGTGCACAGGGTTTGTATGAAAATCGTTCCCTCAACTGTGTCACGAGAGCTTAACATACCCTCGGTGGTGCTGTAGCACTTCATATAGTAAGAGTAATCCGGTTCAAATCTCGAAGAATCCGCCCGAACTTTTTTTCTTCTTGTTTCGTTCTTGCACGCCTGGACTATAAGGATTTTGGGTTTGCCCTTCAGGGTGCTATTGTCGCGAAGTGGAAACAGCACATCATCATCCAAGTCGTACGACTGACCATCGCACGATTCGATCTTCTCCTTACGCCCGCCATGGCTCAGGATTATGATGACCAGGCCGGACAGTTGGTCAAATTCTGCCAAAGCCACTGAAATATCAATAATATTATAACCATCGAAATACCAATATTGGTCGTCCCAGCTACCCACATTCTGCAATTTTCTTCTTAACCACAGCTAATGTTGGGTTAGGAACTTCTATAATCTGGCACTTGAGGCTGCCAAACGTTTTCTTCAAAGCTTCGACATCCTGTGAGCTTCCATCGCGTCTCTCATTGTTCTTAAAATCCACATGATGAAATATGCAGACCAATGGTGGCAGCAGTTTCACCTGAATCACTCCTTGAGCATCCTTTTTAATACATTTACTTGTTAAATATGGTTTGTAAATATGATTTTTACGCTAATAATATTATATACTCACGACCGGAAAAAACATACTAGCGGATTCAAATGGCTTGGAAACCTCGTTATCGGCAGTGGCAGAACCACTGTCTCCATCCGCCATCATTTCACTGTCCTAAAATAAACCGAAACATTCCATCATTTAGTAAAATAAACCAGACGGGCCCTTTATATTATTATCTTTGTTAAGGTGGTATTCCTCGAAGCTGATAACCTATAGTCACAAACGGGAGTTCCCTTAGATATGGTTATAATCAAAACCTTATCTGTAGATTAAACATTTTAACTTAAAAGCAGTGCTTACCAATTTAAAGTACATTGAAGCAGGCTGTAATCTTTTATCGGAATCGCCGTAATTTTCTGCCATTTTACCCTGTGGAAAAAAAATTTTGTTAAGCACCTGGTCTGGTCGATCCGAATGCAGTGTAAAGACTAGTTTTCGTGTTTTATGTTTGCATTACCTTATCGATAATGCAATTGTTAACTGCAAGCTTTTTAAGAGTTGTCAAGTCAACTTAAGGCTGAACAAAATAAAACACTGTTTATTCGGTTTCAAGACACTAATACCGATTAAAAAGAGACTGATTAATTCAGAAAAATAAAAAATATAATATTGTATTTAAGCAAAACATTATATTTCACTCTCTTATCAGACAATATGGGTGCCAATGGCTAACATACGATTTTAGACATTTTACTTTAATTTGATTAGATAAGAAAAAATTTTTTTCTCATTGAACAATTAATGCTTAATCATTTCGGGCTACGTGTTGGTCATTACTATTTTACTAACCACTTAAAAATTGTAAAAGCTGGTTAGAATCTTTCTGGAAAACAAAACAAAAAAACAGATTTGATATGATTTGAAGTTTTTTTTTAAATCTAACATACATAGTATATTAACAGAATGTCCTAATTTGAATAAAATGAATTTGGTTTCGTATTCACTCTCTTATCAGACAAAATGCTTGCCAATGGCAATGAATAATACCTATTGGTGTTGATAATATTGTTTAATTTATAAGTGCACTCCTTATCGATGGGTATATCGGAAGCAAGAAGAAGAAGCAGCAGGCGCTGCCAAGGTGCTGTTGACTGCCGCCAGATGGCGCCTGTCGCTGTCAGCTTTATGAACTAATTGAGGCACAAATGGCAACCGACTTGGGTCCGGATTCTGTCTGCTCATGGTGTCGCACATTTCACAAACAGCAGACAGACACGCCCCCCTTCCCTTCCGCCCCTTTTTGCCCCCCTCCCCCTTAACGTCTGACAAATAGGCGTATGAGCAATGCCTCTGCGATGGCATCAGTTCGCATTCATTATGCATTACAAGCTGCTTAACCGACTCGCCGGATCTTCAGCGAGTTTTCCATTAAATTACACCGAATCTGGCTGCTCTGACACTACCAGAAGTAAACCCCCCACCCCCATAGAATCTTAATGGGAAATGGAAATTCGGCGAAAAGAAAATGCTCCCATTATATGGCTTTTTTTCTTCTGTTCTTTCTGTTTCCCTGGATGTAAGGGGCTAAAGATTGCGAAACCTCATAATTGGCTTAACCGCAGGAAAAGGAGGAGAATCCCTTGGAGTAGCAGTGTTAAAGTGGTAAATATGTCAGCGGCAGTAGAGACATAAATTTTCGTTAAGTAGACGCGCACACGCAATCGCTGCCAGAAAGGAGAAGAATCACTTCGCGTAGAATTCAAGTCGGTAAGATAAAGATGTGTTTCAAGGGGGTGGGTTGGGATGTGCCTAAAGAAAAGATTGTATTGAATAGTTTATAGATATTTTTAATATAAATAATATTTATAATATAATAATAATAATAAAAAATCACATTTCACATATTAATTGTATCATAAATATTATGTAACACCTATCATATCGCACCAAAAAAATATTTAAGGCGTATTAAATTGCATGAATAGTACAATTGATTTAATAATATGAAACATGTTTAACATGATTGAATACTCTAAATATTTTTCAACTAAGATATACATCCATATATATATTTTCTTACTGTGTAGTAGGCAATAATCGGCTGGTCTAATCTTGCTGCGCTTGAATGATGATGATGTGCCACGCCCACCGTCTTCTTCACACACACACACGCACACGGAGAAAGCCTTAATTACAACGTGCCAAGAGTTAAGCCGAATATTTTTTGGTTTTTGGGGGCAGGAGAAGACGAATGAATTGCTGTGGTGTGGCCAAAAAAAAGGGGTGGCAGGCAATAGGGGGTTAAGGGGGGCTGGGGAGGAGGGAAGATATAGGGGGCGTGGTTCTGAAGGGGCCAAGAAATTTTTGGGAGAACACGTGCGCACATGTGCAACTTCCGTTAAAAATCTATTGCTAACTTTCAACAATTCACAGACACAAACGTGGCCGGGCACACACACACACGCACAGCCAGAGAAACACCCACACACACGCACACACATGGTTGAAAGGTGCGCGCTTTGGCTGTTTGTGTAAGTGAGTTAGAGTTTCCTGCAGCTGTCGTGGCAACTTCCGGTTCCTCTTCTTCTTCTTCCACTAGTACTGCTTTTGCAACAACGTTTACGTCGACGCCAAAGTCCATGTCTCAAGACCCCCTCTCCCCCCGCCTGAAAAGCCCACCTATGTCCTGCCTTCTATCTCCTGCATGACGGCTAAAACACTTATTTGGCTTAAGGCTAAAAACTCAAAGCCAAAAATAGCAACAGCAACAACAAGCAGCCAGAAGGAAAAGTCTGGAGGTGAAAAACTTACAACATTAAAAGCCAAGAGCTTAATACACTATATAAGTTCAGGACACATTTTAAGATGTATTCTAAAATCCTCAGAATTAAAAATTTCCAAATGTCGAGAGAAAAAATTCATATATAGTCTTTTTTTGGATATGAAAAACTTGCAATAATAAAAGAAAATAAGTTATACAATATTTATAAGAATGTTAGAAAATGTTCTGTAAGAAAATAAGTAATATAATATACTATAGGAGTATGTTCTCTAAAAAAATATATTATATAATATACTCTCCTGCTGCAAATATAGTAGTGTTCTTAAAGATATATTTTAACATGGTATAAAAAATAAAAAAAAATTGTTTCTTGCCTCATAAATAAAGTTCACATTAAAAAAACCACTAACATGTTTTGCCGCTTAAAAATAAATGCCATAGAAGTCCATAGAGACTTAAAATCGATGTATAAATGCCAAAGGATAAATTATGTACTTTTCGTAGCATATTTTTCAACACCTTTTCAAGTGATGTTAAATCTCTATAGATTTTCGGGACCCATTTGCTAATTTTATCATCAGTCAGCCGTAGACATATAAATATTGATACAATACTAAAACTATAAACAAACTAACGAGTCTCTTTGCCACTGCGATATTTTTTTGTTAAACATGCATCTGTAATCAACAGAACGTAGATAGTACGGATGGGTAAAGTAAGTAGTACGCATGCTGCTCCCGGTGTGTGCTTAAAAAATTGCACAAAGTTTAAGCTTTGTGTGCACGTGTGCATGGGCGGCGAGGGGGGTTCGAAGGGGTCGAGCCAGTCGTGGAACTGTTGCTGAAGTCACGTAATTCAAATAACTAAAGTTGGCGTAAATATGCCGAGCATACAACACACCCACTCGAATGGAGTTGAGTTACTGGCAAAAGACAATTGCTCACGCACTTACTTGTTGTTGGCCCGGCTTAAAGTTCATTAATTTCTCTCACTCTGGCTGTAATTTGTTTTAAGCAAACAACTGACGAGAATGCTGCAGGCTTTCAAATGTGTTGAATTCGCATCGAGGACTCTCGGTTTGCTCATACAAGACAAAAAATATGCAATAAATATTGCGGTTGCATTTAAAGGCTGTAAAAATTTTGTGGCCTCTTAGCAATAATATTATTTTTGCGGTGCAACGGAAATCGATTGGGCTTTGAAATCACCAAGGTGTAAATCATCAAAGGTGACTAAAAGTATGCAATGATATATTTTTTCCCATAGAATCAACTCGAAACATGGTATTCTTTTTTTCACTGCATACTTTTGGACACCTTTATGACCTATTGCTTCATTAATATATTCAATTTGGCATTTATTTTCACAAAGGAAAGGCATGATACAATTTTAAGGTAAAAAATATATTAATTTTTATGGATTCATCACGAAACACTACATGATTTTTTCACTGCATACTTTTAGGCAACTTTATGATTTATTGCTTCATATTCAATTTGGCACTTATTTTCACAAAGAAAGGGTGCGTTAAAATTTTTAGTTTATAAATAACAATTTGATCTGATAAGGTAATTAAGTATAAAAAAATCAAAAATATAAAAAAAAGTGTGGGCGCTTTTTTATCTCTATTTTTCCTACTTCAAACTGTATTTTAAATTAAAGTCAAAATAGGTTATAATACTATCTTGATTTAACTTTAAAATCCAATCCCCCAACAATCTTGAGCTCGAAAAAAATGAGGATGAGCTGCTAATTACTCGCTAAGCTCCTCTTTTGACCAGCTGGAGAAAAGGAGAATAAACACTTCAGCAGGGCAGTTTGGCCAGCACTTGGCTTAAGTCCTCCTCTCGAGGTCCTGCCTTATGAGCCATGTCAGGATCCTGTGGCTCTGGACGTCTGTTGCGTAATTAGTTACCAGATTTGTCTGTGCAATTCGCTCGGCTACTTTATATGTTAATGAGTTTTTGCCGGCCCCACTTGGCCAAGTCCGCTCTTCTTTTGACACAAATTTCCTTTGTCTTGGCCATGAGTGGAGTCTGTGGTTTGGGACAATTGAATTGGAAAACAGCTTTCGCGGCTTACATAGTGCGAGCACTGGAAAAAATATGTTAGAACTTGTTGAAGTGTTACACAAAAAGGAACCAAATGGAATCACTATTAAATGCCATTTTTGGGTGTCCAAAAGTATGCAGCAATATATTTCAAACTCAGAAGTACATTGAATTCCTTTGGAAAATCGACTCTTCTTTTTTCATTGCATACTTTTAAACAGATGAAATTACATTTAAAAGTGATTTAAAAGTGATTTTTGTTGCTCAATAACCACTTCATTTTTAAATAACATTTTTTTAACGAAGCCAAAAAAATTGCTTAAAAGTTTTTTAGTTAATAAAAGCAAAAATATTATTAAGCTTAATAAAATATATAAAAAAACATTTAAAAAAATATTTTAAAAAATATTTCTCATATTTTATTTTTAACCTTTACTTCCTTAAAAAAAATCTCCAATATTTGTTCTATCTGCACAACCCACTAACATGGGAATAGAGCTTCTCTGGGGGAAAAAGGAAACGCTGAAAATTTCACAAAATATGAAAGTCGCTGTCCTGCTTATCGCACAAATGGCATGACCAGGAAAAGGGGCTGGGAAGGGGTTGGGAAGCAGTAGGGAATTATGTTAGAAAGGAGTCCAGAAGGGGTTAGGGAAGGGGGTGCAGGGAGAACTTTGCTAAAGCGGCCGCTTTTTGCCAAAGTTCAAATTGCATTTGGCAAAAAGGCAGGAGAAAGGCGAAAAGAAAATGTGCATAGCAAAAACCATTTTGATAGACAGCGGGGAAAGCAGGAAAAGCGGAAAAGCACCTCATGTGTGTGTGTGAGTGGGGCAACATTTTCTTATCTAAACAATATTGCGACTACTGCACTTGCAAAGCGACAACAACAAGCGAATCGCAACTATGGCTGATTGAACAAAGTTTGTATGTTGTTGTCATAACACTAGGGTATTAATGGGTAGATCTGACATTAAGGTATCCACCTTAATCGTTATTAGTAAAAGTTAAAATGTAAATCAAGTACCAAAAGGTCAAAAACACATTTATTTATGCAAAACCCGTACTTACTTCCCCTACTTATATTTTAGGAAAATTTAAGTCTGAACTGTATTTTACATCATAAAAGTAAAGGTCCTTTCACATAAAATATCCTTTTCATATATCAATCCAATTTAAAACTTTATAAATTCCCAGATATCAAAATGTCCCCACCTAATCTGAACTTCTAGACTTGTTTTTCACCAACTTTTTGACTTTTGCGCTACAAATGAGAAAATGACAACACAATGTACTTGTTACTGTTGTTTTTGTCCACAACATGAGCTGCCAATAATGATTCTACGCGAAATTTAGCCTGAAATGCTGGTCAACTTTTAGGGAAACCCTAATTTAAAATGGAATTTAGTACACACTTTGATGTAAACTCACAACACAAAACAATTTTATATATTTATTCCACATTTATATATAATACCATATTTTAATTTAAGCTCCCTATCAAATCCAAAACTACATTAAAGAAAACTATAATTACACAGATACATTTTTGTAGGTGCTCCAAGGTTTGCTCTGATTACTCTCCACTTTTTTTTTAATAAATAAATAGCAAGTTTTATATACACAAACCTATAAAAAATATAGATCAAACAATTTATTTGACTATCAAAGATTAATTAACCCATTAAGTGATAATAAAAATGGCAACACTTTCAAGTGCGACTTGTTATCTTATCAGACAACTCCAAAACATGATGGCAGCCCATCTGATTATTTCATAGAAAAATCTAGAAAATGATTCCAAAGTACCCTGAATGCAAACAAAACTGTCAAACATTTTTTTAAATTGTTTATTTTTTCTAAAACCTATTTTATCATCTGGTTTTCTTTGTTGTTTTTATGGTTCTTGTTTGGGAACGGGTAAATTACAATGTAAGTTTAATATTTCACATGTTTAACATATTGTTTGGGTTTTTAATTTTTTAGGGAGTTTGATTTGTTTGGTTTTATATTCCCTCACAACATTTCGGCGCCGTCTCTATTTTTTAATTCTGCCTAATTCTTGCACGCGATAAAGGTAGTTAAAGTTGATTTAACAAAGAATTTGTTATTAGAACTAATTGTAAATTTATAAATTATAAACTTAAAGCAGTTTGTTACCAATTTAATAGTTCGTAACATACATTTCATACGCATTTATTGTTTGTCTCTGCTTATTGTTTTTCATTTAATGTTTTTGCTTTGAGGAAATAGCTGGTTGTTCTAAATAAATGCGTACGTTTAGGAAACAACTTAAAGAGTACAGTGACAGTTTCTTGTTGTAGTTTTGGATGTGTGTGTGTGGTTGTGTTGCTTTGTGTGTTTAGTGCAGAAATTTATAATAATTGTGGAATATTTTTCTCTCTTGTATTTTGAACTCCGCATTTATGACTCTGTCAGTGGGGAAAATTAGCGATTAACAACGGACGACGAACAGTGGCACACTGGTAACATAATGGATCAAAGAATAAAAGCCATTCCATAGGATTCCAGATCCCTGCTGGCCGCCTTTTTCGTGATGCAAGGCATTTTTTATACACACAATCGACAGATCATCATAAAAAACGTTTGCTAGCAGATTTATATATCTCTTTGTTTGTTGTTGTTCTTGTTGTTAGCGGATGATGTGAAAAAGTTACAATGGATGTGTGTGTGCTGGGGGTCTGAGGCTGAAGTGGGGATTGGCTGCGCAAGGATTTCGCCTAGCCGATCATCAGCCCGCAGCCGAGTCTAAAGTTGTTCTTGACGTGGTTCATGCGTCCGCTCAGGGCTAGCGTGAATGGCAATGGGGTCAGGCGCTTCTCCAAAACTCCGGAGATGTGCCAATTGGAATCAATTCCGCCTGAAAGAAGTAAAACATTAGAGTACTTTCTTTAAATGCGAAAGGGACTCATTCCGAGATTTATTTTAAATTGTAGCTAATGCGAGTCCTCGGCTATCAGCGAAATAAATATGCACTCACCTCTGAAAACCAGATCCGCCTTGGGCAAATCGATCTGGTAAGCCAACGTGGCCACCGACTCCTGCATGCGCAGGCTGGTCTCCACCTCGACACCGATCTGCAGCTGGTCGCTGGCCTTCTGGTAGTAGCACACGTGCAGGCCGCTCTGGCCCAGGGTCCCCGACCACACCGAGTTGCCGACCGAATAGCGGCCCACGGCGGACACAATGGCTATCTGACGGCCGGGGACATTTGGGCCGAACTGGTAGGCCAATTCGGCGCCCAGGGCGAGGGCTGGAGTGACTGACTGCAGATATTGGCCAACGACCACGCCGGAGTTGGTGAATATGCTGGGATTCGCCACCGTCAAGGAGGCGGTGTAGTCACTGCCGCGATAGTCGGTCGTCAGCTGCGAGGCCACCATCTTGGAATCCTGGATCTGTGGGTTATCAAAAGGGGATCATTAACATAAATAATAATATTTATCTTAAGGCTTCCTAACTTATGGCGACAAGAATTATTTTTACATTATAGAAATGTCTTTCTTATCGTAGTATATAGCTGACATTGTCTTTAAAATTTCTCGCCAATGCAGTTAGCTTTATAGCGCCTACAGCTTCCTTTAAACATGTTTTTTATCTATTAAAATACATTTTTAGAGGTATACGGTTCATCCAATATCACATAAATTTGATATGCTGATTTAAGCTATATTCAAAGGTCAACCTATCTAACCATATTGTTCAATTAACCAATGCTATGATGAAATGACAATTAAACTAAAGTCGAACCTTGTTGGAAAGATCCTAATATACATATGTGGTTAAGATATGATGAGAATAGGATTTAACTAACTGTAAACATTTTTCAGCAAAGAAGGTATATGATAACATGAAACCACTGAAGTATAAAAGACTGCCAAGACTTTTTTGGATGTTCCAGCCGAGTGTGGTTAACTTATAGATCCAAGCTGCCATGGGATAACTTTTGATTGTATCCCCAACCTTCTGTACCTTCTCTTCATCCCAATCCCCGCCAGAACTTACCTGGGAGGCGAACTTGCAGCGCAGACGGGCGGAAAACTGGTGAATAATATTGGCGTTGAGGTTGCCCGACGGGTCGATGTCGCCCAGGAGCACGGGGAAGGCTTCCGTGGGGCTGTATTGCTTGGTGCCCACGTAGGTGGCCCCGAATCGGTATCCACTGGGTACCACATTGCTCATGTTGATGGTGTGCGAAACCTGGAAATGGTTGCTCAGCCCCTTGTTCAGCATGATCTTGGCGCCCTCGAAGGTGATGGCCTGTATATCTGAAAGAGGGGAAGGACGAGGAGTTGGTGTAAGGTAGTGCTGATAATACATAATATATAATAATACCCCCGGTGCCCCCCAAACACCCCTAAATGCCCCGTCTCGCTCTCGCATGTTGTAGGTTATGTCATCAGAGGTGTGGAGGGCTTTTTGCGGGGTTTTTGCCGGACTGCGGGTTTTTCTGACTGAAGTCCACATACCTTTGCACTTTTTGTGAAGCTCCTCGACGGTGCCGGGATTCTCCAGTGGGGCATCCTTGGAGGCGGCAAAGGAATCCGAGCCTCCGGCAGACGAAGAAGATTCGGATAGGGAGCCGGAGTCGGAGGGCAGGGCAGCCGGTTCCGGGAGGCCGAGACCCAAATTTGAGACGCCACTGCCTGGGGCGCCGGAGGAAGCCGCTAGCACGTTGCCCATTTCGAAAATACCGATGTAATCTATGTAATTTCAAAGCCAACACGTTTCTATATCGGTGTTATGTCTTGTCTCGACCTATCGAAGAACGATAGATCCGATATCAGAAGGCGTTTTAGTCAAGGTCTATCGATAGGCCAGACAAATAGCAAGGGTATTCCTTGAACGGTGGATGAATCGCGGAATTTGATCAGCTGCTTGTCAGCTGTTTCACGAAAATTCAACTGTTGAATTGTTGAACCTGATGCACTTTAATGGGTTTTCACTTTAATTAATAACCAACAGCAGGTGGAGTTTTGGGAACATCTTTTAACACATATTTTTATGAATTTTCAACACTTCAACTGTTTGGGGAATGCCCTCAGCGATTTTATTGCGTACGCGAGTTACCAGATGCTCTGCCAAATGTTTGGTTGCGCGGTTGCCACACTGACGCGATTTCAAATAATTATCAGAATTTTAAAATTATTAGAGCACGACTACCAAGATGTAGAAAAAATAAAGTAATCGTCACTACTGAGTTTTTGACATGTAGGTTCAAGAGTCCTGGGTTGAAAATAATCAAATATGTTGCACAAAAATGAATAAAGATAGTAATTTGTAGAAAAATGAAGGCCAGATATGTGCAGCGGAATGGGAATCGCCAGACGGCCCCGGTTTCAATACGCGAGTATTAATTCGAAATTTTAAAAATTGCTTTATTTGCACTGCTTTGAACGAAGTATTACGGAAAAGTAGTTGTTGAACGTGTTGCTGGCAGCTTTTTGAAGACAACAGGGTTGTAATAAATCCGAAATATGTTTGAAATAAAATAACATGTTTACTATTTATTTTCCACCTCAACTCAACCGTTCTTAAAACTACTCCCAAAATGCAAAGTACACTATTATCTCTAAAACGATTAGATTAAAAATGGAACCAAAACGAAGCCCATATTTACCAGCCCTTGATTAACAAATGCCATGCGATTCGTATTAATAAAAACGTTTATATTTCAAGTATATGTATAGCTTTTCCATTCGTGTATGTGGAGTTATGTGTTGTATGAGTTAGGAGCACAGAAACTCGGCTACGTATTTATCGAGTGACTCGTTGCCAATCATAGGGACGAAATAAACTTATTTTGGAAAGAGGGGCCGAACTAAATATTCACTAATTTCCATGAGTCACCTAACTAAAAGTTAACTTAGGAACAAAACTAAAAGTAATTAGAAAAAAAACGCATTGTACAAATATACGTAACTGATTTGGTTTTACAGCTTAACTAGGCGATTTAAACAAGATTAAAAGTGTCAACAAAGTAGTGTTTTTTGGGGACAGGGTTGGTGGTAGATGGGGCGTACGTTACAAATCAATGACCACAAACAGTATTGAAAATAATAATTGGGAAAAGTCGGGGGGACAATCAACAACAGGATGACTTTTCCGGCTCGGCCACGAAGAGATTGAAGTCCAGACTATTGGGCCGCGAGAAGCCAGACTTGATGCCATCCCAGCCGTCCTCGGCCTTGTATTCACCGGATCGAATGCGGGCGTACACCTCCTGGGTGACCATGCGAAAGGCCTCCTCCACATTGGCCCCGGAGCGGGCCGATGTCTCGACGAAATGCAGACCGTGTTGTTTGGCAAACTTTTGCGCCTCCTCCGTGGACACCTCACGATGCCCGCCCGCATTGATGAGGTCCAGTTTGCAGCCGACCAACGCGAAAACAGGGCGGTGGGGCTCGATGTGACGCTGTGCCTCCATCATCCACAGCGGTATGTGCTCGAAGCTAGCATGATTCGATATGTCGTAGACCAGCAGCACGCCCACCGAGTTGCGGTAGTAGGATTTGGTGATCGAACGGAAGCGCTCCTGGCCAGCGGTGTCCCACAGCTGGAGCTTGATCTGTGTGCCGTCCTTCATCTCGATAAGGCGGGCGAAGAAGTCGACGCCAACTGTGGGATCAGATAACTGAAAGGTGGAAACAAATATTATAACATTAGTTGGATGTGCTCAAAAGTAAACTCATATAATAGTTAAAGGCAATGTGTAAAAAGGATTAAGGATATACAATTTTAGGTATTATTAATTTATGTTTATATTTTAAGTATAAACTACAACCAAATAGTGACTCAACTTTAAATACAATTAATATATAAATATATGGAACAAATTGATTCACAAGCATAACAAATACTTATTATATTACAAAAAATAATTTCAATATTTTTAAATTCAGATAACTATATAATTTAAAAAAAATTTCAACTGATGATAAATCTATTCATTTTGAATTTCCCGTCCTCATATTAATAAATGAATTCAGACTGTTTTATAGCAATTAGTATCATTTAAGAGAGTTATTCCAAATACAAACTGGGATTTTATTTTTAATTTAAGAAACTGCTAACTGGTGATATCTCGATGAATTTTGAATGTCCCGCCCTAGTTTTTAGTGCATCCCTGGTCCTTGTCCAGCCTTGTGTTTTGTTGTTGCCTGCTTTATCAGGCGACCACACACACAAGCATACATGCATACACCAACACACACACACACTGACAAGGTGACTAAGACAGCATCTTTTGAAAATCCACTCCCTTTGTCTATTTTTTGTTGTTTGGCCCGTGCAATCACTTAATTATGTAATAAACGCATTAACTGCATTACACGGCGATCGCACGGTGGGCCACACGCACTCGCACAGTGGTCAGAATACGCACCTCGGCGAATTTGCCGTCTGTGAAGAATTTGAGCAGCGAACTCTTGCCCACGGTGCTGTCGCCGATTAAAATCAGTCGGAATTGATACTCGAAAATAGGTTCCACCATCTCGAAGTGTCGTCTTAACGGCGAAATTCACGGATTTATCTGGCGGCTGTAAATCCGCAAAATATTTTAACCTGTCTCACGTAAAGTTTGAGACGCAAATCGCTGTTTTGCTTCTAGGGCTCGGTTTCTTCTTGTTTTTGGAAGCCAATTGAAGGCTGGTGGTGTCCACTCGAATCCTGGCTTTGCAACGCACAATTCCCGGCCGTCGCTGGTGGTTGTTAAAGTATAAATAGGCGAGAATTCGAATTCAGATGCCTCTGAATTTTGTTTTGTTTTGTGTTTTTTTCTCACGCCAGCCTGTGAAGGTGTGCGTGCGCGTATGTGTGATAAAGGCGGCGTTGCCAGATGGGTGAAAGCTATCGATAGGGTTTAAAGTAGCCAAACGGCAGTAGCTATCGGCAAAAATAGTTAGAAAATGTTTTTTCCGTTAATAAGTTATCCACATTAAGAGAGAAAAAGTCTTTCCGCTAGCCATTGAAAACTTACAAATATTTCACATAAAAAATGATTAGAAATGGGACTATCGTAACCAACGAAATGTGTAACTCAGATTAATAGGTAATTAAATCACTAAGGCTTAGAGGACAATTGTGTTGAAGTCTTTGTTGAATTCAAATAACTGGGCTGATCCCAGAAACTTGTAAAAAAAATAGCAAGAGTTAACAATGTTAAAAATTATAATTATATAGCTAGTTTTAGCTTGAAAACGGTAACCGGCTGAAGGCAGCTTATGCGTAGATCTGGCAACGCCGCCCAACTGTCAGTCTGACAGCTGTTCGATTGTAAATACAAACTAGAGATGGTCTTCGATTGTAAAAAAAAATATGTAGACCTACAAAATACATATTATTAGAAAACATTTCTTAAAGTTTAACATTTAAAGAAATTAATTCAAATATATCGCGTTGGATCGTGTGTTAAATAATACAAGCTGTGCCTGCTCAAAAGTGTAATTTTCGTGCCGTGCTGTTTTGTGTCAAAAAAATCCATCCCTAGTACTCACTGTATTTTCATTTTACATTTGTTTTCCGTGGAAATTGTACGTATCGTTTTTCGCAAAGCACACAAATGTACAAACAATCCGCCGGCCACTCGGAAAACAAGAACTTCTGTTTGTCAACCGCCGGCAGCCGGAGTCCGTAAATCAGCCGGATTTTCCGGGATACGGAATCCACCTCGTTCTCCGACTTTTCCTCCCCCCACTCCTCCTTCACCTTCTCGCCTCCCCCGATTCGGTTACGGAACCAATATTATTACCGTTAATTATAGCCACAGCGGGGCGAGAGCATATAGAAATCGCCATATAGATGTTCAAGTTCGTGCTGAACGACGCCGCCAACTACGTGCGATCCAATGTGCGGGAGTTCAGTCTGAATGCAGTGCGCCTGCTGCCGCAACTGCCTCAGTTGAGTCCATACGATGTAAGATCCGGAATCGGTAAACCCCCATATATAGGATAGTATACCTATGACCCCTATATGATATGGAATCGCCTATGCCTCATAGGGGTATCTCCACTAACTTCCCTAATGAAGCAGTTACCATATTGTATGTAAGATCTGGGATTGGTAATACCCTATAGATAAATGATACTTCGGTTAATACCCTTTAAATTTCTTAAGAGAGTTCTTACAATGTTAGAACTGGAAACGTTTATAGCAGATCTATAAATTTTATTTGTTTCTTATTCCTGGGCTCGGTAATACCATAATAAAATAATAAAAAAAATAATTGTAGTGGGTATTAAGTTGTGAAAACTTTGTATAATAGACTGCCCAAGTACCCTATAGATTTCACCTCTGCAGGTAACCTTCACAGAAAGTACAGTGAACTCTCTGAAAAGTTACCCTTTAGTTTAAAAGAGATTTAAATCATACATATATTTAAAATATATTCAATTTTTCAAACAAAAGACATAATAACAAGAAAGTAGAAAATATCTATTACGTTTTTATAACACTTACAACAATTAGTATTTATTTTGGTAAATAGAAATAAAGCTAAAAGCCATAATACAAAAAATGGAATCCATTCGATATTTAGTATTTTTCTTGATACAAATTAGGATTTTACATTAATATTCTACGCTTGTAATGATGAAAGTAGGCTATAGTAACTCCTTACAGCCTTTCGTTAGATTTATTGTTTGTTGTTTTTACCAAAGCCATTTGGATACAATAAAAACACGGAATAATAAAGCATTCTTATAGAGAACTGAAGATTGATAACTTTAAATATGGTATATGATAAATATACATATATCCCTGGGAGTCCCCGCAAAAGCCAAAGGATCCAATGCTAATTCCAACTGTTTTCGCAGGTTAACCTAGTTCTAAGGGAGAACGAGTTCGTCTACAACTTCCCCGTGGACGGAGTCATCCGCAGCTATGAGACGAACCAGCTGGGATCGAATTCGCCCTGCGAGGATTCCCGCACGGAGGCCAGTCTGCTGCACCGCAACGGCTTTATCTGTGGCATCTTCGATGGGCATGGTGGAGCATCCTGCGGCCAGGTGGTGTCCAAGCGACTGCTGCGCTATGTCTCGGCGGCCACCCTGCCGCGCCAGGTGCTCCGGGAGCAGATGAAGCAGAACTGCAGCAGCCAGTCGTTCCTCAAGTGCCACAACGACAACGTGGACTTCGTCAGCGAGATCAAGCCCATCTACGAGGCCAGTTTCCTCAAGTACATCAAGCAATTGACGGAGACGCCGCAGCGGGATGTGGCTAGCGAGCTGGTGAACGCTTTCCTGCAGCTGGACGAGAATATTGCCCAGGAGGCCTTGGCCAGCAGCGATGTGCGCACCATGACCGTGGCTCTCTCCGGTGGGTTAGGTAGCCTTTAATAGAAGGATTGTAAACGATGCAGCAGTCACATAAGTTAGTAAATATCTAAATGCCTTCTCCAGGCACCCGCTGCATCGTTTACATTCTCCTTGCTTCCGCGAATTCTTCAGTCCTAGGAACCCCAGCTTCTAAAAGGCTTAACAAAAATCGAAATTAATATTCTTATATGATCTTCATCGTTTGAGAACTGTATTCTTATTGTGCCTTGATGATCTGACCATGCAATGAGCACGTTTCGGCGTTTCTATTCCAAAATTAGACTCGAATTCTTATTTATATATTTTATATATATAAAGCTAACTTCAAGACCCTGAATTCTTATGTTTGATATACTTTTATGCATAAAGACCTAATTTATTGATTTATTTTCCAGGAGCCGTTGCCTGTTTGGTGCACATTGAGGGCCTGCAGCTGCATGTGGCCAGCACGGGCGACTGCGGCGCCGTGTTGGGCGTCCTCGATCCGCAGACGCAGCAATGGCAGCCAAAGAAGCTCAACGTCGAGCACAATACGGACAACATGTCCGAGGTGCGCCGCATCCTGGCCGAGCATCCCAAGGAGGAGCAGGAGACGGTGATCCGGAATGGCAGGCTGCTTAGCCAGCTGGCGCCGTTGCGTGCCTTTGGGGACTACCGCTACAAGTGGTCCCTGGACATAATGCAGCAGAAGGTGCTGCCAATGTTCGGCGAACAGACACTGGCGCCGAACTACTATACGCCACCGTACCTAACCGCCCGCCCCGATGTGCAGCAGCACGAACTGGGGCCCAACGACAAGTTTCTAGTCATCGCCAGCGACGGCCTGTGGGATTTCCTCTCGCCCAGCGAGGTGGTCAGCCTGGTGGGGGAGCACATCAACTCCAAGAAGATCCTCGAACCGATGCGCCTGCCGGAAGGCGAGATAACGCTGCAGCAAATCTCCGAGCAGCTGGCCGAGCGGAAGTCCGTATACTTGTTAATTTCATCCTGATACCCACTAATTATGATTGTGATTTCCAGGGCTGGTCTCACCCGCAAACCGGTGGACCAGAATGCCGCCACTCATCTCATCCGGCATGCTTTGGGCGCCACCGACTATGGGATTGAGCACTCCAAGATCTCGTACTATTTGACGCTGCCCAAGGACGTGGTGCGTCTGTATCGCGACGACATCACCATCACCGTCATCTACTTCAACTCGGAGCACATTGCCCAGCTGCACGGCGAGGCGGCGGATCAATCGGGGGTCACTGCGCCGGTAGCGTGATCTCCGTGAGCATGCATATGTGTATATTTAACGAGCTAACCTTCAGCCTCTAACTAGCCTAAGTGTTGCGTTTAAGTTTGTTTCATCCGCCAACGGACCTCGGACGACTGCCGCGCCAAATAAATCCCACGCGGGAAGCGAAAAATCACATATGCAAATTGACTTATTAATGGAGAGCAGGGATTCGGCCTCACTTGCATTTAGAATAAAAGCTCTGACCTACTAAACACCCCATTTATGCATTAAGTAATAGCCGCAAGGAGTTTCTTCATATATTTATTTTCAAATAATTTGTGTTTTTGTAAAGTAGCTATGTTTTTCTTTAAAGCAAGTACTTATTATTATTATGTGGTTTAACATTATGCAAACAATTTGTAATTTTTTTAAATCTATTTCATTTTAAAACTTCTTATTTTAGTCTATACTATGCCAATTTTTGTTGCTTTTAAATGTATAAAACTTTTAGTTCGGGTTTTAAAAAAGGTAAACCAACAAGCCCATGATTTAGAGCATGTTTTATGACTGCAACCAAGATATCGAACCATAATGCCCCAGATCTTGTATAATTTTCGAGAATCGATTTATTTTACACTTACATATATTCAATTACAATGGTTTATAACGCTGGGTTATATATTTATGCATAATTTACGCGATTGGCGGGTGGATAGGGGTTTGGGATTCGGGGTTCCGGGTTACGTGGGTAAAGGGTAAAGCTAACTGAAGAACACGGAAGCCGCGAACTTGCAAACTGGTAAACGGTACGAGTCCTTATCCTATACATGGAAAAAACTAAGCAACTACTTAGGGATCGTGGGGAGGGGTTGTGTGTTAGGGCCATGGGATTGGAAACCTATGTCTCTCTAATCCTTGCCATCCTGCTCGGCCGTCTCCTGCCGACTGACGCAATTGAGGAACTCCATCTGAATGTGCGTGATCTGTGTCTTGCTGAAGCACTGCATCTTCTTCTTGAGAAAGTCGAAGAACAGATCCAGCTCATCACGCTTGGCCAGTGCCTGGGCCACCTGTTGCTGTTGATGCAGCTCCTCCTCCTTGATGAGCATGTTGGAGCTGCTGGCCGCCGCGCTGACGGCCAATGGCTGGCCGGATCCGCAGCTCAACGAGGGCAGCTGAAGGATCGTGGCCGTAGGCGTGGATGTGAAGGATGTGGTGTTACACAGCGCGGCTGCCGGCGTTGTGGTCACGGTGGCGGCATTCAGAGAAATCGCCGGCGTGCTGGAAATCGTCACACTGGTACTGGTCGCCTCGGTCACATCCACCAGGGATATCTGCTGTGTGGACACCGAGGTATCATGACGATTGGATGAACCACCGCCCGCCGCCGCCGCCGACGTGGTCGTGACCAGCGTGAGATTCTTGAGCTTGCCATCAGCCACCACTGTGCCACCGGCAAGGACACTGTTCGAGGCATTGCCCGATCCTCCGCTGCTCGAGAACTGATGCTGGCTGGAGCGAACCGTTTGCGGTTCGATGTCCGATATGCAAAACTCATGGGCATCGATGTAGTGGAATTCCTTGCCATGGGTAACATCACTGCCGCCATCCACGGCATCGCCCACGCCCATTTCGCAATCCATATGGGCACCGCTGGCCTCCTCGTACATGCACACCTCCTCGTAGTCCACCTCGGCGCCGGTGGCCCCGTCCTCGTCCAGTTCGTGCTTCACAATATCCATCTGACCGTCGTGATCCACCACATCGTCGTCTTCGTCGACACCGCACACCACATCGTCCTCCTCATCGTGGGTGATCTGGGAGAGCTCAATGCTGGAGATGCTGCCGTCGTGCTGCGACTGATGATGGTGATGGTGGTGCGGCTGGTGGTGGTGATGGTGCTGCTGCTGCTGGTGGTGGCCATGATGGTGGTGGTGTTGCGAGACAGTGTCATCCGAAACGCCCTCCTCGTAGGCGGTCAGGATGAAGGTCTCCGCCTCATCGCTCACGAGAGTGATCTGCGAGGCGCCGTGATGCGAAGACAGGGTGGTTGTATCGTGATCCGACTGCCCATCATCGTCCACCACCTCGTCATCGTCGTCGTCCACATGCTGTTTCAGGTGCAGCATCGCTCCAATGGGCAGAGTGGTGCTATTGGAGCCACCAATGCCTCCTCCGCCGCCGCCTCCTCCACTCGTTTCATAGCCGCTCTGTGTGTTCCGGTGTGATTTCAACTTGGGCTGGTACACCGTCGACAGGAAGTCCAGCTCCTTGGCGTAGCGCCACTTGGAAAGCCGGCCCTCGATGTACTTGGGCGTGCGCAGGCGGTACTGGTGGAACGTGTCCCGCAGGTTCTTCCACTTGCGGCGCACCTCCTGCACCGTGTACTTGTCTGGAAAAGGGGAAATTAGGGGAATTAGAAGGGGGTTCATTGGAAATCCTAGGTGTTTGTTTATAGTTCGAAATAAGGGAATCAAAAGGTGGAAACAGGAGAACTAACAGGTGGTATTTAATAAAAGGTATAGGGTGATGAAAAGGTTGTTCATTTGAAACCATTAAGAATTTGTTTTAGTTGATCCGAAATAGGAGAATGAAAAGGTGGTTCTGTAGGATCAGATTTATAAACTGGTTGATAGGCAAACAGACAGGTGGTATTTATAAACAATAATGATATATTTGAAAGGTGATAACCAAGGAGTTTATTAGGGAAAATTAGAAGGCAGTTCATTAGATATCATAATGAATTTGTTTATAGTTCGAAATAAGAGAATCGAAAGGTGGTTCTGTATATTTGTTTATGGTTGATCCGAAATAAGTGAATCAAAAGGTGGCTTTGTAGGATCAGATTCATAAAGGTGTTTGTAACTAATTGGAGAACTGACAGATGGTGCTTATAAATATTTATAATTGATTTAAAAGGTGCCATCAAAGGAGTTTATAAGAGATCGAATACCATAAATAAAGGAATTATAGAAGTATGGTTTAGATGGGTTTCAAAAAAATCTTATACAATTACACTCTAAGTAAACAACTTCTATAAAAGTGGGCTTTATAACACATATATATCGCAAGTTTCGATAGTCTATCCCAAATGCAAGTGGTTTTAATAGATACATCTGTTATTGAAAGGTATAAATTAAGATTATAAACAATAGGTCTTGGAAAAAGACGAGGAATACGGACGAAAGACTGTACTATCTATATATAAAGGTTTTTACTCCGGAGATTCCTGCAAGAACTTGATATGCTAAAAAAAAGGATGATAGCCTAAGCTAATCTACGTTCTCCACCTAAAGTTAAACTAGTTTCAAGAGGGAGGGGTCGAAGTGCAGGCTAATCCCCGCCAGGACTTGGCACTCACTTCCTATCTGCTGGGCCACCTCCTGCCATCCGTTAAGGACGTCGGAGCGGCGCCGCTGGTTAGGCTGCAGCTTGTAGTTGTAGAGGGCCGGATTCTGGCGCACCAGGTTGATCAGCGTGAGGATGTCATCCGTGGGCGCGTTGTCCTTGTGGTAGCGCTTGCGCTCTGACGTCGACGAGGACATGTTGCTTCTGGCGGGGGCGCTTCTGTTGCTCCTTAAAGCTCTTTCGTCCTTTGTTGATCCTGTTCCTAGACCGTAGTAGGGATAGCCGAATCCAATCCCTATCCTGTTGCTCGCATCCAAGTGTTTTGTTTTTGTTTACCCAGGAAAAGAGCGACTTTCGTTCTCGCCGAGATGCCCGCACACACTGACACACGCACCCAAGCACCCACACACTTATGGCTGGGGTGTCGGAACACGCACGCACACACTCTCGCCCACTCGATGCCAAGGATAGCGAGTGTGTGCCGCTGGACAGGATCTCCGTCTCCGTGGGCAATCTCCTTGCGGGGGGCAGCAGTCTCCTCCAGAAGCGAGCGTCCTCGTCCGCGGGAATTAACTCAATTTGTGCGGATTTTCTTTGCACTTGATGCTTGCTTTGCTTTTTTCTATTTTTTTTTGGCGTTGCTTATTTCGCGCTAGAGATGGCACATCGCTTAATTGGCGTTCGTCTTCACAGTCACGAGTTTCCAAGGAGTCACGAGTCACTGAATCGCGAGGGTCCTTTGAACTGGTACCATAATTATTTTGAGTGGGAGGCCATTGCTGCTAGTGCTCAAAATCCATTATTTAGCTTATAGATTTTAATGTAAGTAAATAAGTAAATAATATCATATGTTTTGAATGGTGATGCTGTTTCAAAATTAACAAATACCAGTGTTGTAAATATAAGCATTAAAATTAAGTACAATTCCCTCCACCTTCACAGATAGCAAGTAACTTAGTACACAAAAAGAACTAGTATAATTTCCTACAAATTGTTGTACCTATCTTTATATTTGAAATCTTTTTGATTTAATTTTATTTAATTATTTCTTTCGTTTATTTGGAAATATAGAAATGGATGTATTCCGAAACTCAGTTTTCTTTTCAGTATTATATAAATAATTCTTTAAGACTAAAAACTTTCCTCTTCGGTTTATTAAACATTTTTATTTTTTATTAAGACTAAGCATATATTAAGTTTTATTACTCAAACAAAAGTAAGTAAAAAAGTTAAAATTAATTTAAAAACAAATCCCGGTATGCCGGCAGTGTTGCTCAGCGCCCAATCGATAACAGGCATCGATAACGCCGCGCACATGCAACCCGGCGTTTACTTTTTTCTCTCCTCGCCAACAAAAAAACAACACAATCTTGCAAATTCTCGTCTCGCCTTATTTCGATTTGCCGCATAATTGTGTATGATAATGAGCACACCGGCGAAGAATAACAATGGGACTGGACTGGAGGACGTGAATATTCCGGGTCAGGCGTACCTGCGCGAGGCCCTGACCTCCTGCACGGATCCCCTGAAGGCCATCGAGAGTTTCCAGGTTTGTTTACGTTGCAACGAAAATGGGCGCGAAAAGTCCGGTTGGATTATTTATTTATCTTAAGTCCACCTGTTAATTGGGTATCTTTATTACGTTCTATGGCAGCTGGAAAATGGTGTTTTGCTGCCTTCACTGCGCCCAATGTTGCCTTTACTCGATTTGCACGGCGTGCGCCGGCTGGACTTCCACACTTCGCTGATGGAGGAGCTGCGCGACAAGCTGATAGCCCACATCAACGAGATGGGTCAGAAGGAGCCGCGCGAGCGGGACAAGAAGCTCAAGGAGCTGCTGGTCAAAAGCTTCCCCGTTGTACGGGTGAAATCGCTGCGTCCGGTGGTCATGGCCATTCTGCGCAACACCCAGCACATCGACGACAAATACCTCAAGATACTCGTCCGGGATCGTGAACTGTACGCGGATACGGATACGGAGGTCAAGCGGCAGATATGGCGTGATAATCAATCGCTTTTTGGCGACGAGGTGTCACCCCTGCTGTCGCAATATATCCGCGAGAAGGAACACATCCTGTTCGATCACACCAACCTCAATAATCTGTTCTTCCAGCCAACGCCCAAGGTGCGAAGGCAGGGCGAAGTGGTCCAAAAGCTGGCCAATATGATAGGAACTAGTGTCAAATTGTACGACATGGTGCTGCAATTTCTGCGCACTCTGTTCCTGCGCACCCGCAATGTCCACTATTGCACACTGCGTGCGGAACTACTGATGGCCTTACACGATCTCGAGGTGCAGGAGATCATCTCGATTGATCCCTGCCACAAGTTCACCTGGTGCCTGGATGCCTGCATAAGGGAGAAAAATGTGGACATTAAGCGTTCGCGAGAGCTGCAGGGATTCCTCGATAACATTAAGCGTGGCCAGGAGCAGGTTCTCGGCGATCTATCCATGACCCTGTGCGATCCGTATGCTATCAACTTCCTGGCCACGTCGGCCATTAAGATATTGCATCACTTAATCAACAATGAGGGCATGCCGCGTGACAATCAGATACTCATCCTGCTGTTGAGAATGCTGGCCTTGGGTTTAAGTGCCTGGGTGATGATCGATTCGCAGGACTTCAAGGAGCCGAAACTGGACTGCCAGGTCGTCACCAAGTTTCTGCCCGCCCTCATGTCGCTGATGGTGGATGATCAGTGCCGCAGTTTACATGCTAAGCTGCCGCCGGATGAGCGGGAGTCGGCGCTGACCACCATTGAGCATTCGGGACCGGCGCCGGATGCCGTGGAGGCGTACATCCAAGAGAGTTCAGTGGCCAGCATACTGGCCATGTACTATACGCTGCACACGGCGCGCCTGAAGGATCGTGTGGGCGTGCTGCGCGTCCTGGCCATTCTGTCCGCCTGCAAGGACGATCGAGCGTACGAGGATCCCTTCCTGCACTCGCTGGTAAGCAGTTTTTACTACTTTACAAGAGTAAAGCCTTACTAAAATCCTTGCTATTCCTTTGCAGATTGCTTTGCTGATCCCCATGAGCGAGGAGTTCGCCACCGAGGACTTCTGCACCACGCTCTTCGACGAGTTCATCTTCGCCGGACTGACGCGTGAGAATGTGACCTCTCGGCACATGCTGAAACTGCTGTGGTATGTTCACAATAAGCTGCCCTCCGGTCGCTTGGCCACCTTGATGAAGGCCATGCAGCCGACGACGGCCCACAATGAGCACATCCACAAGCTGTACGAAACGCTGCAGGAGAGGATTGGAACTGGGGCGGCGGAGACACCGGTTATCGAGGCACCGCCCATTGAGTTCGATTCGCCGCTGAAGAGCGTGCCCACGCCGGGACCACACTATAATGTCCAATAGCTAGAGGCGCCGGCAGTCGCAACACCAGCGGCTGTCGTCGGATGATCATGGTTGATGATAACGATGATGATGATGTGCGGTGGCCATTCAAATGGCCACTTCCTTACTTCAGAGCAGCCGGCGGGATGGCAATCCCCATTTAGCACGCATGCGCAAATCATAATTCTACTGTTTAGACTAAGCAGCGAGCTCTGCGACCGAATAATCGGATATAGTTTACATATTTACAAATGTATGGCTTTGTTGGCAGGCAACCAATTTGTTGTCGCTGGCTATTATATATTATATATTACTGTTACGCTAGTGTAACGATCGATTCTAGTACACAATATAGAGTACAAATCTAAGAAGGCGTCTTTTATATTTGGAATAGAGTTAAGTCCAATCAGAGAATGAAAACAAAGATGTATAATTGCTTTTATCATTTCAATTTCAACCTCAACTTTAATGATTTGCATACTAACTGATGTTCTTTTCGGGCAGGAAGATTACAAAGTTCCTAATTTAATTCGGTACAAAAGGTTTTACACTAAACGCTTATAGCTTAGGGAAATAAACACAATTAAAGAGGTTTATTAGGGATAGGAGTCTTTCGTCTCATGTCTGATCTGTTTCAGCGGCTTTGGAACTGGAAACTGGAGCTGCTCCCGCCACTGAAGCGGCCGGAGATGTGGAGGCAGCTCCACCGGATGTGGATGCTGGCGAAACTTCCACGGGAGAAGCATCCAACGGAGGTAGTGAAGATGAGGCCGACAACAGCTCATCATCTAGGCAGACGGTGGGCGAGTCTAGGGATTGAATCTCGGCGGAGGGACTAGGAGCAGGCTGTGGCACGCACAGCGATGACGAGGAGGATGAGGAAGATGAGGACGAACCGGAGCCGGAGGAAGATGACCCAGAGGATGAAGTGGAGCTGCTGGTGGTGGTGGTTGTCGTGCTAGTGCCTGTTGTCACTGCCGTGGGTGATCCTCCTGCTGATGCTGGAGCACCTTTTTCTGTGGCCTCCTCGCCGGCTGCCTCATCCCCAATTGGCCCAGCGCCTGGCGATGAGCCCGCCGACGAGGCTGCCTTCGGTTGTGGTGGGGCGGGTGTGGCGAAGATATCCTTTTGTCTCTCGGATTTGCACTCCTTTAGCAGATCCACGTACTCCGAGTACAGGCGCTGCCATTCGGAATGTGGCTTCAGTGTGTCCAGAACGCACTGCATTAGCTCCAGCTTTGGCACGAACTAGAGTGGGATGGAGGTATATGGTTCAAACAACATGATCCGTTAAAGATAACCCTTAATAGCAAACCCACCTGAGATATTCCCGGCTCCGGGATGGTGAGCAGATCGTCCAGGAACACACGCATCCTTTTCTCGGAACCATGGGTGGCCAACTGAAAGGTGAGCATCTTGTGCCAATGCTGCAGTTCATCCAGCGATTGGAGGGCCTCGCACAACTTGATCTGGTTCTCGATAAACCTGATTTTGGCACTCTGCTGCCAGCTCTCCGAATGCCTCCTAAAATTTTAAAAATAATATAATAATAGTTAAATAATACAGATGCGTTAACAGTTAACTACGTACAGCTCCATGCCGCCAGTGAAACAAAAGTAATTCTGACTGCTGGCCTGCATGCTGAGTAGTGGAAACTTCTGCTGCATTTGGTCCATGTCCCTGGGCAGTGTTCCCCGGATGCCGTGGTACATGATCGCATCCTTGGTGGCCAGCACCAGCCACGATTGCAGGCTCGTCGAGTAGGAGTACGAGTTGCCGCTGGGGAAGCCAATCAACGGCATGCCCTGATCCGTAACCGAGAACTGTACGGCCGTTCCATGCTTGTTCAGCAGCTCCAAGCAGCCGGCCGCCAGGCTGATGACCTTTTTGGCAATGTCCCATATCCGCAGCAATCCGCACTCGGTCAGGACGCCCACCAAACTGTTGTCTGGACTCTGGAATAAAATTTTATTAGCGGGGTAGATTGATTTTCCTTTACCAAGACTGGATTTCTGAATGAAAATAAAATCAGAATATCCGAGCCGTGATATAGTCTCATATAAATGCTTGTTTTTCGGACTCACAAAGGCGCAATGCACCGCGGAACTGGTCAGCGATATGGCCGGAAAGACCGGGCAGCCCGTCTCCATGGAAATGAGTCGCATGCTCCCATCCAGGGAGCACAGCATGGCGTACTTTCCACACAGATTTAGATTGACTATCGGCGATCCCACATAGAATTCCCAGAGCATCTCCTTCGAATCCGAAGCGGTGACCTTTGCGAGCATGCCGTGATTAGTCTTCAAATGACCATTCGAGACATGCACACGA